CAGAAAAAAACCTCAAAGCAACACCAAGGGAAAGGCAAGTTGTAACAAGATAGCTGTCTCAGGGCCCAATGTGTGCAAATTTTAAAAATATGCACAGAGCAAACTATGCAATCATAAGCTAGGTATAGATGCACACGCAGTGAAAACACCACCGTCGGGATGTGAACGCATCTGCCTGTGGTGCCCAGCTATGGTGACTTCCGGACACGGAGGACGGGGGCTGCACTGAGCTGGGCTGGAGCTGGGTACGTAGTGCTTTATTTCTCTGCAAAGACAAATACCAGGCGGAAGATAAAAGCACCTCCAGGACCAGCAGGAAGAGGCTCCCACTGGCCAAATATGGGCCAGTTGAAGTTTCAAAGTAAACAACAGTGGCAGAGTGTAACCCTCATGAGTCTACTAAGACTCCATGTCCTACTGATACAGAAGCACAGATGGATGTGTACGAAGGGAAAGGCCGCCCTGCATAGAAGGCCACCTGATAATAAAAGAGGAAAGCCACACTGGTTATGATGGTCATGACCGCTTCAGGTAACACTTAACAACAGATGCTGCGGCTGGGCAGGTGGCTCAGTAGAATAAGTGCTTCCTTGGCAAGTGCAAGGGCCTGAGTTCAATCCCCAGTTCCGAAGGGGGAGGGGGGAACCCAAACAAAAAAACCCAAAAAACCACCAGAAATAAAACAGATGCTGAAACCCACAGCAGAAAGGTTGATGAGAAAGAGGACCACAACATTCTCAAGGTGTCTTCCCGTAAGATACATATCAATTGCATCAGGAGAAATGGTAACCTTGGGACAGTGATGACGAACCTTTTGCAGCTTTTAGTGATAGCAGCCCACTGCAGCTTGCGTGCCACAGGCTCACCCCACTGCCTCCAGAGCAGCCTGCCTAACAACATCTGCACCAGAGGATCATGGTTAAGGGACACAAACCCATCCCAACAAGCTGCAGACAGAGACACAGCACTTGTGTACTGCTGCAGAAAAGGCTTAACCTGAATCTGACAATGAGGAAACTTTACACAAACTCAGGCCAGAGAGCAACTGACAAAACAACTGGCCTATAGTTTTCAAAAATGCCAATGCTGGAAGAGCAAAGGTTGAGAAATTGTCCAGAGTGAAAGGGAGCTTGAGAGGCAGGATGCTGCACTGTCCCATGTGACTCTGGATCTGGACCTGCATGTACGGGACACCGTTGAGATACTCTGGAAAATCTGAATAACGTCTTAGGCTGGATGGTCACATCTTATCAATGTCAATTTCTTGATTTTACTCACTGTCCTGATGTTGTAGAAGGTGTTTTGATTTTTTAGGCGACAGTGGTTTCTGTTTTAAGAGATAGGAAGAAGGGAATCAGGTTTACAATTCAGGCTGAGATGGCTTAGGAAATAAGCCGGCACGTTTAGAGGAGAAAGGATGATACAACAGGGTCAGGAAAATATTAACAGCAGGGGTCATGGTGAAGGGCAGGCAGGGACCCTGCACTGTGCACTGTTGCTTTTGTAATTCTGCAATGACTCAGAATTGAAGCTTACACAGAGGCACGCGAGCACGGTCAACGTTGGTCATTAGATCTTGGTGGTACTATGTGGCTATCATCCTCTTTTCTGCATACACCAAGTATCTCCTAGGTGAAAACAGCTTGAGGGTTGAAACTTGGAAAACCCTATTGGACATGCGATGACTACCGGCCTGGCATCAGAGCAGGGCCGCCAGCCGTGAGATGAGGTAGGTCTGTCCCTCTCGGGTCCAGAGAGAAAAACGAATAAAAACACAGCGACGTTCCAGCCAGCCTTAGAGGCACAACTGCAGCTTTTGCTCCCTTTCCTGTAGCTTAGAAGGTGACGATGGGGCAAGAGCCCAGAGGTGTAAGAACCTGCCTGGCAAGCGCAAGGTCCCAAGTTCGATCTCTGGTACCACAAAAACAAATAAACAAACAAAAAAACTCAGGTGGAAAAAAGCCCACAGGCTCTCCTAACTAACACTACCCCCATGGCCTTTCCCCTCAGACCATTCCATTCAGATCAATTTTTGTTTGAAGCCTTCAAATGTTATCTCAGCTGTGACTCAGCAAAATCAGCACAATTGGCAGGCAAAGAGCGGCTGCCCAGCTGGATACAACTGACAGAGTGAGCTAAACTGCTCCACGCATCTTCAAAGTTTCAAAACTCTCTCCCCAACCTGTGAAGGTACTAAGCAGCTCCTTTGAGGTACCTGGCAAATGTGGGCCAAGCAGCGTCCAGGTCGTAGCCTCTCGACGCCAGGTCAAACTGTACCTCGGTCAGTTCATAGAGCTGGCCCACGATGTCGGAGCTCAGCTTCAGCTTCAGAAAGGGGCTCCTCGCATAGTACCAGTCGCTGGGGAAGACGATGTGACGTGTGAGTTAGGGACGTGGAGGGAAGAGTGAAGGTGCTGAGGCCTCGGGCGCCCCGATAGTGAAGACACACAGCACACCCAGACTCCTTGTCACCGGAGGAGCGGTAGCTCTCAAATGAGCCTGCTCTTCCGCAGGGAAGTCCGGGCATGGATCTGGACATTTACACATTTATTACTGACATCACATCTATTTCCCAACAGGGATGTGGTAAATGGAACTCTCATACTTGGCAAGAGAGGGCCACCACGGGGGCCAGTACACTTCTTCACTGAACGATGCCCTTGCCTCTTATTCCTTTTCCAGCACTACACGTGAGCTGCTGGACTCACTGCTAACTTCTTCTTTTTATTATTTTTACTTGTATATATTTAGTACAGGGTCTATAGGGTCTCACTACGTAGACTGGGCTCGCAGTGATCCTCCTGTTTTCAGCCTCCCAAGTGCCGGGACTGCAGGCGTGTGCCACCACATCCAGTCTCAATCACCTTCTCAGCGTGCCCCAGGGGTGGGGCCAGCACAGCATGCCTGGGATCGAACCCCGGCTGCTGCATTCTGCCTAAACAGGCACTTTAGTCTGCTGAGCTATCTGGCTAGCCCCTCACTGCTAACTTCTGTCCACAGCCCAATGGAGAAGCAAAGGGACACATTCTACCCAGAAGTGTTATGTGCCACAGAAATAGCTCTCACCTACTTTACTCAAAGCAAAAGAATGTGAACAGACAATGCTGATGTGGTGGAGAGTTACTTGGGACTGTCTGTGCCTGTGACACACACCCACCATGCCTTTTGGCAAATAGATCTTAAAAAAGAAAATGGAAACAAAACATTCCGTCGCTATTGTCTTTTTTTTTTTTTTTTTTTGCGGAACCGGGGATTGAACTCAGATCCTTGCGTTTGCAATCAAGTGCTTATCCTACTGAGCCATCTCCCCGACCCCTGTCTTCTTCTACAATTGAAAAATGACTTCTCTGATTAACTAGCACAGTCCTGAGGTCAGGTGAGGCAGAGCCCATGGATGCGCATGTGACCTGCAGTGCCCACCTATCTTCTCATCCTGCATTCCATGTGCCCTCCCTCACCCCTGGGGGCAGTGCCAGTAACTTGGGCACTGACAAATGAACAGCCTCGGCTCTGACCAGAGCCCCAAGGTGGGCTGCTCCCCCATCTCCAGAAGCCCAGATATCCCAGTGGGCAAGGGCCATTGGTGACAGCTGAGGCTGGGCCCAGAGGGGTCAATCCGCCACAGGCAGTTTTGTGGGGGGCCCATGGCTTCTCCTGTCTGTCCATTCCTGCCTGGCATCTGGGGTTAGAACCAGCTCTGAGCTCAGCTTCACAGTGAGGCAAGGTGAGCCTAGAGGCAGGTATGCGGCCACATACTCAGGGGGGCCCACCCCATGTGCTCATCCTTTGGAGGGGAAGGACAGAAGTGGAAGGGGCCTGCTCCAGGCGATGCCAGTGGGTGCCGAGGTGCCTGTCATTGTTAGAAGAAGAGATGTGGCCTATGCCTACCTGGTTACCTTGGTGTTCATGAAGCACTGCTGCAAGGTGTCCGCGAGCCTCTGGTGGACCAGCGAGTAGCGGATAAAGGCTCTTCCTTTGCCCAGTGACGTCCGGAGCTGCAGGAGTAGAGCATGGGGGAGTGCTATCCACTGCCATCCCACACAGGCCCAGCCTTCTCACAGGAGCTGACCCCAGGCAGAAAGTGTGTTCAGTGCTGCCCCACACTGGCCCTACGCATGTCCCTCCAAGGACACCAGACTGCTGATGGTGTCACCCTAGAAACTGAGGGCTGTAGGGAGTGGGCCCACACTGGAGAATAAGCTGCAGCCCCCGACCCCTCCAGGGTGCATGCGAGAGGGGAAACATCCATACGGGTCTCCCACACGATGCTGGGGTCTGCGCACAGTGTCCTCCCGGCTCTGCACGACCAGGGTCTCTGAGTCAGACATGCAGCCCTTAATTTAATTTGGAAGATCAGAGTCACCCCAGAAGGAAGATGTGGAAGGCGGGCAATCTTAGCTAGGCAAATGCTGGCTTGTTTTTAAGGTGCTAGGAAAGGACAGGGCTGTGGGGGAGTGCTTGGCAGTGTGTGTAGTTGAGGGGGTGAGTGCAGGGTCGGGAGAGGGGGG